TTTCCTGGGAGATGTGCTGGAGCGGCTCAGCGGAGGGTGGGCGGTGGCTGGCAGGGGGAGAGGGCAGGAGTGCAGAGCTGGCGATGGGACGGTGACGGCTCTGGCCAGAGCCCCTCCGGAGCCTGGGTCCCACCGGGGCTCCTGCGAGAGGAGGCTGTGTTGGAAGGGGAGCCTGCTGCAGCAACCTGAATTTGTGTTCAGCTGTGAGAAGGGAGAAAAAAACCCAGCCCATGTTCTTTACTGTTATTATTGCTGTTCTCTTGGACCTGCGGCAGCAGCGTTGCATGGTGGGCCCTTTCTTGTCTGCGTACAGCTGGGGAGCGGTGCTTGGCCTCTTCTGCTGGAGCGGCGTGTCACGTTTGCCTTCCTGATGGGCGGCTGTGACCTGGGTTGGAGGAGGCACGGCGCGGTCCCCGTGTCCCCCTCGCTCACAAGGATCCCTTTCATGCGGAGAGCTGAGGGCAGGCAGCGGCTCCAGGTTGAATGGTTGCGCCAGACTCTTTTCAGATCCCAGCTACAGACATTTTTGCTGTGTACGAAAGGGATTAGGTTAGTGCTGAGAGCAAACAGTCGTTGCCTGGAACACACTGGTCTCCACAAACAGGTTAATTGCCTTCCGTTAGCTGCAAGTCAGTTGCTTCAAGGTTTTATAAGATGAGTTCAGAGAAGGCATAGCTATTAGAAACCCCATTCCACTAGTAGGCGTATACTCGCATCCATCCCAATGATTTGGGGATTACCGGAGCTGAAAGGCATATTTAAGAGATTATGCGACAATTCTGTGCTGTAGCGTTTCTCTGCACCTTTCTCTGATGCTTGTGACTCGCAGCAGGGTTATGGACAGCAGAGACCATTTACCTCATGGCAGTTGGCATGCAAATGTCTATACAGAGATTGTACCGATGTAGCTTTACCAGGATTATAATTTTTATTTGGTTGGTTATGCTTTAATATCAGTCCATATATTGGCGTACCAATACAGAAGGGGTCTGGAGCTGCATTGCTCTAAGGCTCCTTTCATATCCCTATAATTACACCCGTTTTTCTAATGAGCAAAACAAAACCAGCCCTTCACAAAACAGACCGATCTCAGATGGTTTTATGGAAGTAGGAGGCCTTTGTGTGCATGTCTGGTGTTCGTGCTTGGCGCTCCGGTGCCGTGATCTTGGATCACCACCTGCTGTCTGCTGAAAGAATTCATCCTACGTTGCATTTGCTGAACCACGTTGCTGCTTGTTGAGATGTCGTCCCCAGCTCCCACCCTTCTGCAAGGTACTGCTGCGTGTGGTTACTTACCGTTCCTCTGCTTAGCTTGGAGCTACAAAGTTTGTTAATGAAGTAAAAAATTTAGTAATCTGTCCCCATTAGGGATTTTTCCATGGTTTAGCTAATTTGTTTTTTCAACAAAATGTGGGATTAGTTTGGACTGAGCTGTGTAAGCAAAACTCTGGCCTAAGGAAGGAAGTTGGTACTTGCAAGGACGTGGCTGGACCGTAGTAGGGCCGAGAGTAGGGGCTTGAAAGGGGAGCCCAGAGGAGTATCCGGTATCCCTCTTGTGCCCTGAGGGCTTTGGTGCTGGTGATTCAGATGTCAACATTTTGCAAGAGGGGAGCTGCTTTGAATTCCTGCCTGCTGTGGCTGAGTGATTTTTGTGGGAGTGGGGCAACAGAAGGAGGACAAAATGTAGGAATTACTGGTTTTCTTTGAACTATAGGTTACCATATATTGTACTGAAGTTTTTTTTCCTTTTTTTAAGGAGTGTGTGTTAATTATACTGAGTTCCAGTTGCACTGAACAGCCTTTCCCAGTTTGGTGAGTGTGGGATGGCAGCTAGCGTGGTCGGTGCATGGCAGCACAAACTCATGGAGGGAATTGGAATAAGGCAGGCTTTCCTAGTACTATAATAGCATCCTTGTGTTTGGGGACGGTGACTGCTCTTGGACATACCCATCTTGGTCTGTTGTTGCATTTGTGTCAATGTTTAAGAGAATTTCATGGGGTAGAACAGGCAGGACTGGTAATGCAGTGAGGTATGTGGTCAAGATTGGATAGATAAAATACTTTGGCTGAGTCTCTCCTGCTGCTGACGTACCTTCACCAGGAAGTTTGGGGGTTTCTCCATGTTCTTTGTACCTCCTGAGAGGAGTGGGAA